ATCCACACTGGCATCCAGCATTTCGTCGGTATAACAGATTTCCTAACCTTCATAAGCGTCACTTTTAACGACTTATAACTTTTTTTATATTATCAAGCGACCATTTTTATTATACTTTTAAAATCTTTGTTTTTACGCATATATACATCGATTGAGCACATTTCCAAGTAATACGGGTCAAATTATGCATTTACCAAAATAAGAATTTTATAAATGGAATACAACAAAGAAGTGTCATTTGAATATAATATCAATCAGATCTGAGATACGAGAAAGATTCAAACCACAAATTCTACCTTATATTTCCGATGTATAAACGTCCGCTAGCTAAATAGCTTATGATTTTCTTTCCAGTTTAACTTTTCGATCTTCTGCAGAACGGTGCATACAGAATCATGCAGTATAACGATTCGCAACGTAAGTAATTACGTATATTAAGTGTGATAAATTATATGATACACAGTCACTTTTCCTACCGATTTTAAGAATAACAAATAAATTTATAAATACATTATTAATACGTAAGATATGTATGGATAACATAGACACGTACAATTGATGTAAAGCAGTACGAATCTCTTTTTATGAACTGCAAAATTTATAAGTGGTGATTATATTATACTGTTTAATGATTGTCTTCTGTTAACAGAAAAGTGCCTGATGGAGGCTTTTCGCACCGATTGTCAGACACTGATAACACGCTTTGAGCTGTCTTACAATACTCACTTCCAGAACTTCTGTGAGATCTGGAAAGAAATGCAGTTTGGCTTGGTTTTTGCGTATGTATTTTGCTCCTCTATTAAAAAAGGCATTTTACTCCTAAATGTCAATACATTTTTTCTGAATCGCTACTTTTTAAGATTTAACTTTGTCAGAGGAAATTAGTTAATAAAGATTGAAAACTTGCAGTTATCATCCTTCCGAAGCCGCTCTAACAGTATTCTGTGAAGAAGCTCTTTGCGTAACAAAGCAGTTTCTGGTGAATGCATCTAGTTTAAAAGAACGTATTGGGGCTCTGTATCTTACATATGGAGTATATTACAAAATGCCAGTAAAACAACTGAAGATCAGAATGACCCTGTCAGATTGGAAGTGCTTGAT